TCCGGTCCACATTAATACAATTGATCCCAATACGTATGATTGTATGAAAATATCTTAAAATAAATACAAATGTATTTATTATAAACGTTAGTCCTTAACACCTATCACTGTGTACATCACCATTTAAACATCTTTTAAAAGTTGAACAAACCCCACACAGCTCAGTGAAATGTTGACTTTATTTGATAATTTCAGTAAAAACTAGCGTTCATATTTCTCTTTTTGATTATAATACTGATGAACGTTCANGTGTGCCTTGGCACCACCTATAGCTCTAGGCAGGTCCCCCCCCATCCTGTCACGGATGCCGTGATGTAGGAGGTCACCCGACCCAGTGGAGATCCCCTCCGCAGATGCTTTGAGGACCCCCAGTATCGGAAGTTGCTCTCCACTGAGGGGGGAATGGTCACCAGACGTCGTTTGTGCCTCTTGGGATCTAAACGAAGGCCGGCAAGCCACCTTTGCAGGCGACATGAAACTCACGAGAGTCACTCGCTCCTCAGTCTATCCTGTATATTTTTTTTATTAATGTATCATTTAGTTACAAATATGTGATATATCTGAACAACAAAGTGGTCAAAAATCATTCTATTCATTTATTGGAAACATTTTCATGATCGCTTTTTTCGTTTATACATTTTAAGAATGGCGTTTATCTTTTTTGAGAATGAGTTCTTATTTTATTTAATGTATTTGGGTCTACAACAGATTATACAAATGTGTGTGTCAGTAAATGTGTACTAACAGAGGCGGGGGTGTTTGTGAAAATAATGGGGACAGAGCTGGCTGCTGTCAGACGAACAGCTGTGCAGCGTCATCACAAACGGACTTCTTCTTCACGTGACGCTCTGGAGGAAAGGACGTCCCATTGCTCTTAAAACTCATTTCCCTGCTTCTCGTGGGCTGCAGTCGAATAGTCCATTTAGCTTAGGAACCTTCCTAACCGAGTGAAATGACCCGGAAGTCCCTCAGTGGCAGCCATGATAAGTGCCGTTCAAATTCTCTACATGAAAGGAAAGGAGGTTTCAAACTTCCTTTATAACCTCCTTTAGCTTAGGAACCACTGGACCTCCCTCACCGAAAGGAGAGGAGAAAATGCTGCGAAAGAGAAAAACTAATATTATGACTGAGCGAATTTCTTTCGTGAAACCGTGAAGTGCGTTGGTATGCAAATTTTAGCGAATTATTCGTGGCAGTTGAAAGTACTATATTAAAGAGGCTAGTATTTTAGCAAACACAGACACTTGCCGGCCTGAGCAACCACACTGCAGTTTACGACCGCCGACGTNACCCTAAAAATAAACCTGGGTTGCGTTCCAATAGTCCATTTAGCTTAGGAACCTTCCTAACCAAGTGAAATGACCCGGAAGTACGTCAGTGGCAGCCATGTTAAGTGCCGTTCCAATTCTCCTAATGAACATGGCTGCCACTGACGTACTTCCGGGTCATTTCACTTGGTTAGGAAGGTTCCTAAGCTAAATGGACTATTGGAACGCAACCCAGGTTTATTTTTAGGGTCAAAGAAAAATAGTACACAGACTAGAGGTCCCTTTATTTAGATAACATATATAATCTCATATTCACGTCGCATTTTGAGGTGATTTCTGGTGCATAAATCTCTTGGTCACCACTTCTCTTCTCCCACCATCACTCACAGCTCTTTGCTACATAGTATACCAGAGGGAGGCCATCTGTAATAAAGCAATGTCTTTGAGTAGCAAAACTGGTTAAAACTGAATAATGAAACATATAAAAACATTGAGGCAAAGAGAAACTAAGAGCAAGGTATGGTTAATGGTGAAAGGCTTTGATGAATGTTTTAGAGCACTATGTAACAACAGTTTGAAAGACAGTGCAGCTGAACCATCATAGATAAATACACAAGTATATACACCACCATGTGGAATGTGAGCCCATCATGCGATTCCTCTGATTGCACTTTGGTGGGCATGTTAGGTCATCCAAGTTTAGTTCATCCAATGGATTTAATTTGAGAGCATTCACAAGTAGCTGCAAAGTAAGACTGTCAGCACATTAAAGCATCGCTGACATTTAAGAAAACACACTTTGTCTGTCACCACGCAGAGCTCTGGAGCCACCTGATCATTATGTATGTTAACATGTGCTAGAGGTTTGTTGTAGTAGACAGGACTCTTATGTCAAAAAGGGACAGAACTTCAAGACTTGTCCATGTTTAAATACAGAGAATTAGAACAAATCACGCAAATTATGTTGGAAGGAGCAATGGGAACATGTTTGTGTGATCCACTCTGTTTGAAACACTTCCAGAACCTCTCCTTGTGCTGGATAAGAGCTGAAACCCACATTTATCTTCACATTCATTGACAGATTGACCAAATGTTTTAGGTGACCTCAAAACATTTGACTTGAAGGTGTCGTTTCTTAAATGAAGTCTAATAAGTGACAACTTTTTGTTGATTGGGTCCGATTCCAGAGTGTGCTTATGCAAAGAGTGTTTGAATCATTTAATGGACATAAAAATTATGTTGGATGATTCCACCAAATCCAATAAACTACACATTGTATCAAGATAAACCCAGACTAAGATGTGAATGCTTTCAAATGATACTACATCCTGAATTTACTTAATGTTAGACGTGCACACATTTTGCCAGTGCATCTGGATAAGATTCGATACGAGCCCAAGTCCTCCGCCAACATTTCCGTTAAATTGCGAATAAAAAAATACTACTGGCCAGAGGATATTTAAAACAGTATGATCTTTTTATGACAGAAAGATTAACATCATTTTCTATTTGCCTTTCATTATCATACGTAGCACTTCTATCAGCCCTGTCAATTAGACATGTGAGCAAAACTTTAGAATTTGTGTTATCTCGGCACTGTGTTACCCTAAATGGGTCCGTTAAAGTAATTTCTATATATTTTGGCTTTTCATTTTAAACTGGTTTCCTAGAATTCAATGGGGCTGAGGTGTAAGTAAGTGATAAGTCTCACAAGTCAACACTCCATATTCCAGGGCCTGTGTGTATCCATGCATGTGTAGGCAGACCACCCATCTTCCACACACTCGTGGCCAGCAGCGATGGAATGTAGGGCGCTCTCAGGCTGGGGGGGTTAGTGCTGTTGCCATCTTTACCAAGTGCCTGCATCACCCCCCCCCCCCAGAGTCCAAAGACATGCAGGTCAGATGAACTTGAAACTGCCTGCAGGCGTGATTGGCTGTCTTGTCTCTGTGTCAGCCCAATGATATATTGGTGACATGTGCAGGGTGTAACCCCCCCCTGCCAGTGTCAGTCTCCAGCCCCCTGCACAGGACTAACAGGTTAACATCCAGGATGGATTTAAGGGCATATCTCACATTAGTTTCTACCCAGTCCTTGATTTTAAAGTTGATGAATGCTGTGACACCGAACACATCGTATCCATACGTTTAAAGACAGGCTAACCTTTTCTTCCTGTGAAGCATCACCGCCCTGCACATCTCCGTTAGTTATTTTATTCTCAGGGGGGTCAGGACGCTACCTAGAGTCGCCTGTGCCTTACATACCGTACCTCCATAAACAGTTCCAAAGATACACCCGATAGAAAATTAAAAGGATATGAATCTTGATTTCAGCCTCCACCCATATCATGACCCTACCACTTCATCCAGGGTTCCATTAGTTATTATTTTTAGCAAAAGTGAAAACGAACGTCACAGGGGGGGGGGGGACGTGGCCATGGAGGATCAACATGGACAGTCATCTGGAAGGAAAATAAAGAGAAGAGGGATGAGGAAAGAGGGCAGCCCATTCCAAAAGCCCAGGTGGGGGGGGAAACTGTAATTCAGTCAAGTCACCATGTTGGGGGCTCTGATTCCTTCCCCAAAGTACAATGCCACTTGAATGCCACAACTGCTTGCTGTCCTCTCTGTGGGGCCTCATTTGGTGAAGGCGGCCACCACGGACCACAGCAGCTCGTTGGCGTTGGCCTTCAGGCTCTCCCCCTCGGGCTCCAGCTCCAGCAGCGTGCGCACTCTCTTCATGGCCAGGTCATACTGGTCGTCTAGCAGCGGGGCGAAGGCATTCTCCAACACATCAGAGGAGTGGGCTAAGAAGATGAGCGCCAGCAGCCGCTTGTCCATTCGATTCGGGTCGTTCACCCACTTGTCCAGAACGGACTCCTGGACCTTCTTGATGAGGCGCTGCTTGATGTTGTTGTTGGTCAGAGGGTGTGTGGTCATGTCGAACAGCAGGAAGTTCTGCTTCTCAGTCGTGAGGACGCCTTTCTCCACCAAGTTCTTGGCCAGCCTCTCACGGACGTTCCGCAGCTGATAGTGAAGCTTCAGGGGGTTCCACGTCTCTCCTGAAGAGAGACGATAAAAAAGAAAGACAGTTAATCCAATAAAACAACCCTCTTGTGAAATACTACTTAAGTGCAAAATATACATGTATGTATGTATGTATATATATATATATTATAATAATAATAATAATAATTATTACTGGCTGCTTCTTGTTGTTAGACAATTCAACTTCTGTGATAAATCTGTAAAAAAGCTGTGCAATATATACTTTGACCTTTAATACCATCACCTGGCTGCTATCTTAAAACTGTATTCATGCTACACTTATAAATACTGTTACTTGTAACAGATGTGTATTTTGTAAATTGGGAAAGTTTAATTTCTACTTTTATCTTTAATATTTTATGCATGCTTCTTAATAAATATTAAGCTATCTTTGGCTCTTTACTCGATGTAACAATGTAAATCTCCCCTCTTTGGGATGGATAAAGGTATTCTGACAAAATGTTGATTTGCTCATCTATAACTAGCCGCTTTGAAAAAGACAATAAAAACGAGTCAATATCTCGGATACTGTACACATTGCTGACGTAGGCTTAGACTGAAATCTTGTGATATTTGAGCAATTATTCATTATTATTAAATTATAGGGGTGTAACGGTATACGTACCCGTACCGAAATTATTCGGTACGGGAAACCTTCGGTTCGGTACACATGTGTACCGAAGTGTACCGAACGAATATAACGTTAAACGTAAAAAATTGAGAACGTGAACAACTTCTTGGAAGTAATCTCAGGTGCTGCGTCGCAGCATTCAGAGTAATTTGCTCACATTGGGTTCAACGCGTCATAGTCATTTCATTGGACGAGAGGCAAACTATGAGAGCTGGACACAGGGATGCGTTCAAATTTATTCAGTAATTTGAGGAACTGTCAAAAATGGCGAACGCAGATAAAGTTGAGCTCGAAAATCCTCCAGCATCATTGAAGTCTCCAGTTTGGGAACATTTTGGTTTCGCAGTTACGTACAAGGATGACGGACAAAGACAGGTGGACCAAACCAAAGCTGTTTATCGGCATTGTTCAACTAGAATTGGTTACGCGGCTGGCAATACATCAAACTTGCACACTCATTTGAAAAGGCACCAGCAGAACGTGAATATCACCGGTACCAAAAGAAAAAAGACTGAAGTGCAAACCCAACTCCCACTAACATTTAAGCCTCCACCACTCGCAAAAAGTTCAGACCGACCCAAAGCTATTACAAACGCCAAATATCCTTATGTTGCCTGTTAGAAATTAAAATCAATGTTTTTGATGATATAATGTCGCTTAAACATGCCGTCAGTTTAAATGCTGTTTTATACTGAAAAAACAGAAATTCTTGTGCACAACCAGTTAAGCTTTTATTCTGAAAATCCTTCATCTCCGGTTAGCATTTAGCATGTGGCTAATTTACCATTGAATTTAGTAGCGAAATGACATGGAGTGATGCACACTGAATCCTACTGATTTTAACACTACAACTATAGACGTAGAGATATTATTATTTCTGAATATTGAATGAAGGTACAGTTTGTTTAAATACAATTATTGTTTACAGACGTGAGTAGCATGTGACAACATCCGGAACTGCCGTGAAGTATTTGCTGTATTTTTTAGAGTATTGATTACAGCGTTTAGAATGTGTTGAATGAAAAGTGATGAAAGAGAATATGGGGAGAAGAGGCGTGTTAAGCATATATTGAATGTGCAATGTCTGAATCCTCTGTTTAATGTAACAACGGACATTAAAGACGTGGAGAGCCGGCCCGCAGGGAGGAGCCAGCAGAGGATATATAACAGCTGGAGAGGAGGAGTTCGCTCTCTCTTCTTCGCTCACGAGGACCAGATCACAGCTGTTTTTCTGTCTGAACAATATTCTGTTTATAACACTATCGCGCGATTTTAATTAAAGTACCCATTTGAACCTTAAGCCAGAGACTCCATTAGTCTCATTTTTAAAGCTTCTCTCCTGGACGCGAGGATAACGAACAAAGCTAATATGCCATGTTAGCAAAGCGCTACCTGGCTGTATCTGCTACCTCTGTCTCTAGCGAGAGGGTGTTCTCCACAGCAGGAGACATTGTTAGTGCCAGCAGATCTGCCCTTTCGGCAAGCAATGTGGACAAGTTAATTTTTCTTTAAAAAAACATGAAAATACAATGACAAGCAAGCAAGTCCTAATGTCAAACTGGCTGCTTAGGTACTAGTAGGCTACAGTAAAGTTCAAATACAGATTATTTCAGTTAATCGAAAATACTGCACCTTAATGTTTATTTTATTATATTTTGTATTTATTTGAGTGAATACATTATTCACAGTTTAATAATAATACAAAAATAACAAGAAATATTTTATGTTTTGTGATAATTTTTTCTGCTGTACCGAAAACGTACCGAACCGAACCGTGACCCAAAAACCGAGGTACGTACCGAACCGAAATGTTTGTGAACCGTTACACCCCTAATATATAGGTAGTATATTCCCCTCAAAGCCGCTGTGCTGGGGGGGGGAGGGGGGGTGGCAGCTCGCCAGGCCCTCTACTTATCAGTCTTACATCAGCAGTGTCGGGCTCGGGCTACGCAGTTTTGGGGGATAGTATCTAATCTCCATGCAGTGTTGGGGGATAGTTATCTAATCATCACTCATGTTCTTTGTAAATCTGTGGAGTGATGAGGCCCGAGCATAGATGCCAAACTCAAACTATATGCTGCTATAATAAACATATATTAAGAACACGTGAGTTGCCTGACTGAAATACTATGAGGCCATTTTGAAGACACGTAGACACAAAATATGTTTTTAATTTACACGGTGACAGATCTGTCCAAATGCTTTGTGTAAGACACACGCAATATTTTTGCATAATCACCTTAGAATTTCATAAATATATTAGGGCACAAATAAAATCATTATTGCATGTGCTATAACATGTGTGTATCTGGAGTGCCTACCGACTACACAAACAGTGAGATAAAACAATCCAGTCAGTTTTTTGAAGGCTGTGCAGTCAGAAACCATGGGTGTCGTGTCAACATGCCTTGACTTGAGAACTTTCCAGATTTCCTTGTAAGCCGACCAGGGCAGCCTGTCTTTTTTCTAGTGGGGGGCTTAAACAGACAACCTCTAAAATTGAGCATTTGAAACAGAAGGTAAATACAGGAATATTCAGACAGACAGTAAAACAAAGTAACCCATTTTTTGAAAATGAAAGCATATAAAAATGTTCTGGTAGAAACCATAGACTGTATATATAAAGGTAGAAACCCAAAATGCAAGTATGAACCTGAGATTTGTCGCAGTTTTCCCCCTTAAAATCAATGTCAACACAGCTGTTTTTCGCTTCTGGTACCTCTAATAATGTGCTATGACAGGAGAAGGTTATCAGCCTCTAGCCTCTAGCCTTTGACCTGTTTTGGCATGGGAGTCCCAACACAAGAATTAAGCCGACACAGCTTTACTAGTCATGGTGACTCGCAAACTGCCCTGCCATGATAAAGTGGTAATCCCTAGTCATGGTGACTCGCAAACTGCCCTGCCATGATAAAGTGATAATCCCTTTCCAGAAGGAATATATATATCTCAGGAAATCCAGACAGATACTGTTGAACATTAATTGATGTTTATGTTCCTCTCACAAGCAAATCCTATACATCCGGTTCCTTGGCTGCCTATAGATTCACAATGTTACTGCTCTCTCTCTCAAGTACCATGCATATTTATAATTCGGTGGAATTACAAGTATCGAAATATCTGCCCAAGATAAGGATTTGATTGAAACGCATTCAACGCTCTTGAGAGATACACAGGATCTAATTAACATTCTTGTCTGAAACACACAGCTTATACACCAGCGTTAACCATAGTACATAGAGAATAGACAGCCTGTTCACTTCAGTGCCCTTCACTCTTTAATTTTGTTTGGTTATGTTTAGCACCTTCTATGCTCACAGAATATGGATCAATGACACTGGAGTAAAGCCTGTTAGTTATAGAGGACATGAGGGGCAACGGAAAAGCCTCTGGCTCCAGCCAGTCAGCTTCACAGCGTGGTGGAGCCTGCTAATGCCATTGGCTGTGAGATGTGGATGACAGACTTCTCCCCCCAGGTAGCCTATCAGGAATCTGATCACGAGCGCCTGGTTTCCATTGGAACATCAATCCAAGAGTCTGTCTTAAATAATAGTGTTAGTTAGCGAAGCATGAAACTATGGCTGTCAGTGAACGTTAAATTCATCTACCACTCCTGCATACATAGAGCGAGAGAGAGACTTAAAGGGTTTAGGTGTTTATAAGAAGTTTGTGGTGCAAGGAGTTGATGGTTCAACTAAATAAATCTAAAGAGTATTACCTAATAAAAACAACAAACACAGGGCAGATTTTGTGTAGAAACAATCACATATAAATCACTATAAAAATGATGTGTTTCAGCATTTTACATTCAGGCTGTCTGCAGTGTGATGACAACACAACATAGGCCATTTAACTGCAAATCATCCCACAGATGTGCTTCTTCTACCTTTGACAGCCCTACACTGTGACCCAGCAGATTTAAAAGGAACATAGATGGGGGAAATCCCATTGAAGTTAAATTGATAAAAACTACAAACCATCTCTTTGAAATGAAAACCTGAACAAAAAGCCACCTTGGAGCATCTAAAAAAGAGAAGATGTGACTGCAGAATGCATATCTGCAGCTTCTCTCTCATGAGACATACATTACGAGGGAATGAATGACATTTTCTTTTACAGTTTCTAAAAAATAGAGAAAGACTGAAACAATAAAAGATGGACAACTGCCTGGTGGGAGTTACACAGAATGTTGAGATAATGGTGGAGATTTGCATCATGCTCTCAGCAGAGAGAGACCATATTGAATTTGAATGTGATATTTGCTAAAAAATGAAGAAACCCAAAGGAGATGGCTCAAATATTTATATGACTGCCCAAAGGAACACTTTATTTAAATATGTGTGTGTGTGTTTGTCCCTGAATGTACTTATCTGAGTTCTTTTTTTAATGTGGCAACACCTCATGTCCCCAGATAAATTCAGCCATAAAGAGTGTTGAGTGGTGGTAAAATATAAGAGCCAATAAAAACAGGAAAGTGGGAATAAAAGGAAAGGTGTTAGAGGACATCTTTGTTTCTTTATATTTGCCAATCAGTTTATTACCATGGTATTCCTCCATAAACCAGGGAGTTTAAATATTGTTTTATCAAACGACACCCCGCTGAATGATGCAGGAAGATGAAATCCACCATTTCGAAGAGTCAATGTAGAAATAATTACAAATGTCTTGACACATTTGGACCTAAAAAAGGCAGACACACATCAAAGTCCCTACACCACCAGTAATAAGCTTGCAGCGATTAACATTTACAATTCATCTTCAATACATTTTGTAATAATTACAACATGTGTTATGTATTCATGAAAAGCTCCAGGGAAGAACACATTATCTTTTTTAGAAATTGGAAACAGTTTCATCCGAACATGGAGACAAATGAAATAATCCCCTTCTTATTTTCTTTGAAAACAATAAACCTCCTCACACACATATATGCGCAAATGTTGTTAATTGTATTTTTTTGTCTGAAACAGAGCAGAGAAAATCAGACAGACTGTAAGGGATTAATGTGAGAAATAGGGCTCTGGTATGCCTAATGCCACGGTAAATTCCTTGAAAGAACACTATAATGCTAATTTCAGGTTTCATAATATTATTTTGTTCCTCTACCTTGACACGTTTACATACTTACCTTTTCAAAAATTGCTTTATTTTTCTGACACTTTCTATGATGCAGTGTCTGTTTTCACCCAGAGCAATCGCTGCTCTAATTGGACCCTTAGAGAAGTCCGGCCCCTTAGCCTGCCCTATCATGTATCACATATAGTGTTATGTGGTGATGTCATCATGTAAACAAAGGACACACACTCACACGCCCACACACACACACACACACACACACACACACACACACAGACACAATCCCACTCCTTACGATATGGAGCAAATGAGGAGCAACAGAGGCAGGATCCCTCACTACATAAAA